CCTTTATAACTACAGTCCATAATATGTACGATACTGTCTTTATATATATTATTATCATTGATTAAATATACAATTGTATGTTTAATCAATATTATTATCATACATTCATGTATATATCATATTCTATTCCAAATTTATTATCAACAGACTTCTGCGAAAACCCACCATCGCCGAAATACCTTCTTAGCTGGAATCACAGATAATATATAGAATAAACACTTAATGGTTGATATAGACTATAGATTATAATAAAATATCTCTCTCCATCAACTCGATAATATATGTTTAAAAATAAATCCAAATGTATAATCAAATAACGTTACAAATCACTAATTGTTACTATTTAACTGCTCATGATCTATTATTCGCTTATTATATTATGACACAATAATTTTTACATTGCCAGAGACTTAAAATTATTATTATTATACACTATAGCGGTTTGTAGATTAATTTTCCTAAAAAATTTTGGAGGAGCTTTAAGGAATTCTAGGGCGGCTTTCAGTCCCTCCAAGCCCCCACCCCTAGTTACGCCTAGGATACCGACTATATTTAGATGTATAAACCGATTCACACGTATTTCAATCACAGTCGTTTTTTTTGAGAGCATTTGATTTCAAGTCTCGAAGGCCAATATATCAATACCATTCAGCTATCGCTATATCACATTCGTTTGGATCTCTTTTGATTTAAAATTATTTATTATTTAATCTTTTCCGAATTAGAAAAATAAGAATAAATAATAGATAATGGAGAAAAAAAAGAAAATAAATAAATAATAGACAAACACGTTTGATTGTAGAAACCTTCTCCCTCTCATTGAAGAACTACAACTTAAATGAATAACTAAATACAAAAATGCTTCACCCTAGTGTGAATATCAGACACGGTATTGATTTCAAATAAATTCTAGTAAGTTAAAAAAACAAAGCACATATTGAAAAAAATAGATAATTAGGTATGCACAATGTTGGTCAAACTTTATGATAACTAGCTTAGGTTGACGGATTATTGGAACGTAATATGTGTTGAACCGCTTTATACAGTTAATTAAACTGCACACTATTTAGAAATTTAATTCCCGAGATTTCGGATTTTGAATAAGAGAAATTACAGATTTAAAACTATTTAAATATATATAAAAAACTTATTTTTTTCTTTAATTATGCGGAACATAAAAAATAAGATTCACCAGAATTTTGATAATTCGTTGATTATTTCTTATTATGTTTTGTAATTACTTTTTTAATTAGGATCGGACAATTCGCATTCATAAAAGTTATACTCGTGAACAATTATCGGTGAGTAATAATTACAACCCAATAAAAATAATTGAAATCCAGTTTTAAATCCTCTGAACAACATCAATAAATTCTCTGAAAGAAATAAAGGTATAATAATAACTTATCTGAATAATAGCTAAAAATTTCTTTTGAAAATGATCCATGCATTGGTTTTATTGAATGAATTGTTCTCATGAGTACTTTATTAATAATTCACAAAAAAACATTTATTGCAAAAATTTGAAAAATTTTACTTGATGCTAAATAAACTATAGGTTTATTAAAAAAACAAATTAATAAATTATTTTCAGATAATATTATAAATTAGTCAACTTCTAATTATTAAGTCATAAAATGTTCTCATATGTATTAAGAATAATAAAATACTCAGATTTATTGTAAATTAAGAAGTTTACGTTCGCCTTCACACAAAGTTCCATTTCAAATCGATATTTAGGTAAACATTTTTTTCTATAACCCATTCAAGAATATAGCAATAACATAATATTTTGCCACCCAGGGATAACAACATTTTGCCACCCCTCTTCCCTAAAGTGCAAAACTGAAAATAAATTTCTCTAACTATTCATTAAAAAGTTAAACTCGCTGAGCTCGCAATTCATTTTCCCCACTTCCCTATTACACAATATTTTTAATTAATATAAAATCCAAAATAATAACTGAGTTATAATTGCCTAAATAAATGTATATAAAAGTGTCTTATAAGACTGATTGGTACCCTTTGAATGTCTGAATGTCCCATCTCCACACAAATCAAGATTAAACCAATACCTATATCTCAATAAAACACCATACCAGTAAAACAAAATACTCTTAAATAGATATAAATTGTATAGGTACGCTACTAAATAATATAAATAGTTTTGTAATATTACATTTATTTTT